ACTGGTGGGAATTGGGTTTCATACACTGCAGATTTTGGCAGTCATACAGTGAACGAAAATTGACGAGCACTGTTCAGAAAGTCAAAACCTAGAGATTCTTTGCAGTGGTGCCCAGCGACAGGACAAGGGGCAATGGGCACAAACTGAAACATAAGAGGTTTCAGTTGAACATGAGGAAAAACTTCTTTACTTTGAGGGTGTTGGAACAGGCTGCCCAGGGGGGTTGTGGAGTCTACTTCTCTGGAGATATTCAAAGCCCGCCTGGACGATGTCCTGTGCAACATGCTCTGGGTGAGCCTGCTTTAGCGGGAGGGTTGGACTAGATGATCTCCCGAGGTCCCTTCCAACCCTTGCCATTCTGGGATTCTATGTGTGATTGTGATAAGTAGGATTATGCTTTTTCTCCATAGAAAAACAGTTTTAGCTTTAAATAAACCCTCTAGTTTTACCTTTCTTATTACTTGCATTCATTGACAAAAATTACACAGTTATATCACAGATAACTAACACGTATTAGAATCCCACTGTGTGCAGACAGTAGAGACACACTCTGTATCTTTTACTGCAAAGGTAAATAAGGCAAGGTCAACCTCAAAGTGGAGGCTTCAAATTCACCACCTGGTAAAAAGCTACAAGCATTTATCACCCCACCCCACCCCCCCCTTGAAAGAAGAACCCTACCTGAACTGAAACCAATGTGTCAGAAAGCAAAAATCGAGGCTTCAGACGGAGCTGGCTGCAAAGCATAGCCTGCACACATCAGCACATCTTATGATCCACCACATGGACACATGCACAACCCGCTCCTCTATTCCCATAGCACCTTCCAACAAAAGTTCACCTTCAGTTCCATCTTCAGTATCATCCCAAAGGGAACGATGGCAAATTGGCATATCCCATTCAAATTTTAAAGGGAGAAACATAAGCCCACAGAAGGCTCACAGTACCCAAACCCCCACCACACCTGCTGGAAACTCTCACTACTCCTTTTCAAATGAGTTCTCTCA